TTTTTCTCCAATTCCCTGTTACTGCTGCTTTACTTAATGCTTAGAGTCATATCTCGTTTCTACCCTTCAGTTTCACCAGATGGCAAATATACAGGAGAGGAGAAAGTATCAAATACTCAACTTCATGCTCTACCTTCCAAGAAAAGTATTATAAGCTAGGTGGGAAATCAAGAAAGTCAAATAAGTAATAAATGCACATACACAAATCTACAAGGCCACTACTGTCCAAAGAAGAGGAAAAACTTTGGATTAGCCTGTTATACAACATTCAGTTGTTTGCACAAAACTACTATTCTGAATTCTGGAAATAATTTAAAAGTAGCCTTTGTCAAGCTGTTTGCACATCTGTCTAATTTTAGAAGCTTTCTTAAGGACATTCTTGTATTTAATACAAGAATACAAATTGAGTGCAAATCTAGAGTCACTCTGGAATCTAAGTTGGTTATTGTCAAACTCAACCTACAATGTTTGACTTAAGATTATTGGTATGTTCTAATTAAACTATTTAACTGATCACTCAATTACACATTGCCCCTAGAAAAGTGGTTTTGTCCACTTTCCATATTTCCCTATTTTTCTGAAGAAAGCTTAATAAACCTTGGTTACAATGTTATGTTGCAATTTGCAAACTAAAAAATCATGTGAATTGCCAACATAAGTTTCCTGATAATGTAAGAGAATTAATTTTGAAACTGCATATAGACATACGAGCATATCTTATGCTGCTCTGTATTCACTTCAGCATAAAAAATAATATTTAAACAGTCAGTGAAATTGATTCTGTACTCTATGAAGCAGTGTGAGGCTTCTATTTTTACATACTGTTTTATTCAAACGATCTGGTTTTACTTAATGATATTATCACACTTGCTTTAATTTTTCCTACCACTTCAGCTCAGCTGTCCTTGACCTTTCTAGAACAAACCTCTCTTCACCACTAATGTTGGCAGCACAGATCTCCATTTATAATCCCAGTAGAGCTTTTCAGCTTGTGCTCTACTCGGTGCTTCAGCTCAAATGTTGGTGTGCCTCATTAGGAAAGCAGACCTCAACAATTGGGAACTTCTGGCTTATCTCAAAGTGAGAAGAAAATCTGCTCTCCCTCATTTCCTCTCCAATGCACTGAAAGAGCGACTCCTACATCATTTCCACAAAGCAGCAGGTGAAAACCTTGACTAAACTTCCTTTCTGGCAACATAATCTTGACATAGGATAAGACCTACTACATTACAAAATGCCACTGCAATCGGTTACAAAAGTACATACACATAAAATCACTGTAGTAGTTTATACTTGCTTAAGATGATATGAGACTATTTTAATTGTCTATCAAATACATTCAAGTGAAATACTACTGTAACTAGTACAAAATTTACTTAGCAGTTTCAATTTGTTTGAAAGAAAATAACTTCTAATGTAAATTGAAATCAACTGATAGAAGTCTGTTTCCATGATACTGTATTTTAGTACAAAATTAATTCGAAGCCTTGTGCCATCAATTACTATTTCTACAACATTTATTTGCAAAGTCACTGAATGGGAGTTACCTGTGAAACTCCACTTTTCTTTTAAAAGGTATCAACTATACTTCTCTTACCTTGAAAGACTGCAAAAGCCAATTTCAGCAGGCGTTAACGGTTGCTGTCCAGTTTGCTTTGCTCCCCAGACATGCCTACCCTGCAAAGTCCAAAACTGCCATTCCTTCCCGTGCTCCCCATTTATTTCGTAATTCCTTAGAGGCAAACCAGCCAGGATGAAGAGGCTGAGATTTTTTTTTTCTGGCCTCAAGGTTAACCTGTTTTAGAGGAGTCACTATTGAGCAACAGCAAACATACTTACTTCTGAGTTTTGCCCGGCCCAGACAGAGCACAGAACCCACACAAGTTTTCTGTATATGTACACTTCTGTTACAAGTCTTCTGAGAAAAGCTAAGTTATTTTATTTGTTGTTCTTTACAGATACACAAATTACTGAAGCTGGGGCCCTAAGTGTGGAAAACAGAAGAACAGCAGCAAGATGCTAGATTTTACCACAATGCTTAGCATACTTTTAAGTGACAAGATGAGTTTTTTCCTGTTGCAGTTTCAGGCTGTGGCAAGCTCATTAAAAATGCACTGAGCACTTGTCTATTCGTAAAGTACTAAAAGCATATAGAAATTTACTACAAACATGAAATATGTAGTGTTAGAAGTTAAGGATCACAAAAGTAACAAACTCCTCCTGTTAAATGTTGGCAATATCCCACTGTAACTAGAACCATTTTCAAACAAGATTTTTTTCAATCAGCTAGTTCAGGCACAGAATTTGTAACACTTCTGTAACTACTCAATTAGTCTTACATATTCTGGTTTTCCACAGGTGTTTTTTGCAGTGTCACTCACAAAAGTCATCAGTAGTTTGATTTTAATATTTTCAGTATGACATCAGCAGAAATACCTATCTCATGCCCTAACCAACTTTTACAAAATTCAATTTGATCTAAGCTTTCAAATTTTTTCCTAAAAGGCACCAAAATATGCTATGTCAGAAAAAGACTGCAAAACAGGGGGAGGGGGGGGAGGGAAGTGGGGAGAAGAAACCAAAAAAATAAAGCAGTCTTCTAAAAAGCAAATATTTTCCATTGAGCAATGCTAAGTATGCTAGCAAGATATAATCAAGTACCTAAAAGTTTTGTTACTACACGTAGGACATGTACTCTTACAACTTCTTCCTTAGTACTAACTAGTGAATATTCTGTCACATCAAAACCTGCATTTGATAATCCTTAATTAACATTTTTGCCCCAAATTTATAATGCACATGAAATATTTTAATTACACCCTATTGACAGTCAAAATCAAAGATATTTATAATTTATTTTAAATGAGAAATTATTTTATACCAGGTTAAACTTATGATAGCCTATTTTAGTTTAGCTATAACAAGAGAAGACTAAAAGCTAAATAAACCCTTACTTATCCCTCAAATTTTAAATAACTTGATTTGAAAAACATTAGGGAAAAAAGGGCAGACATTGTGACAGTAGTCCACAGCCTTAACCTTCTGACATAGTCTCATTTACTTCTAACTATAATTTTTAGTATTTGGGTTTTGAAGTTCTGCTGTCATTATGGGGAAAATATTGCTACATTTCACAGCTGGGAAGTACTCAACTTTGAATCGCCAAATCAGTAGATTTCACTTTAAAAAGGTGTGAAAAATCTTACATACAAAGAGAAAGGACCTTGCCTCAGTCAGAAAGACTAGCAGAAGCATAAAAATTCCAGTGCTGTTTCTTCTGCTGTTCGTTATAATACATTACCCACACAGAGTCTTGTGGAATGAAAGAAAAAAAAAAAAAAAAATGGTTGGAACCACTGCTTTATGCCTTGATATTGGCTATACCTCCCCCTTATTTCCCACTGTACAGGTAGAAAGTACAAAGCTCAAGCTTCTTCCTAAAAGTATGTTCTCCTCATTGATAACTTCGTGGGAAACAATTAATGGGAGATGAAAACAAATCACATTTGGGGGGGGGGGTGGTGGCACGGGGAATAAATAAATAAATAAAGGTTAGCAAAAGGTTAGCAATACTCCCTCCCAAATGTTCCCTTCCTCTCATCCCAGTGGTAAAAGGGCAAGCTCTCTAACACTAAGATTTAGATATCTCTGCACCATAAATTCTATGTAGCTTAATCTTTGACTCTACCAAAATTTCTAAAAGGAGGAAAATGCAAAATGATACTTCTGAGCAACTGTATAGCAAAAAAGGTTGTATTTACTATAGTTGTTCTGTTGGAAGTACTTCTCACTCCATCTTGAAACAGAAAATACAGGAATAAAGTGTTGAAGGGAATAATTAATTGGCATGGAGACTTCAAAGCGGACATATCCTCTTTTTGTGGGTGTAACTGTAAAAAAGGACTGCACGAAAAGGCTTGAGGAAGTGAAGCAAGCACAGCGACCTGTCTAGAACATCGGGGTTTTTTTTTTTTTAGAGGGGAACTGGAAGCTCCTTTGACAGAAACAGGCCTAAAATTCTATTGAAAAATTTCAGACCTTGGGAGACTCCCACTGTTCACTAATTTTCTAGGCCATGATCCTCCAGAGTAGATCTGGAACCTGGGAAATTGCAGCTATAGTTACTCAACTGAATTAATAATTTAAATACTTCCATCAAATAACTTTAACTTAATTTACATTTTAAGCAAATGTTTGGCACATAGCAAAGGGCTCCATTATTATTTAAAAACTAGAAAAAAATTAAGTGTGATTCCCTTCAGCCTGTCTTTTAAACAGCAAACAGATGCCAGAGAGCCTTACAAATTTAAGGTCAAATGTGAATATAAATTATACTATATTGACAAATTCTATGATTATTTTTACAGTATGGGTTGCAAACTGCAGCTTTTAAAAACATAGCTTGAATTGGCTATAAACCTGCCATTCTCTGAGTCCTCTACAGTTGTTAAACAAGTGTAAATAAAAAGTACACTTCATGTGTTTTTTCTTGCACTCAATTTTTATGCACAGTTAATTTTTATATACATACTTCTCCAGTAAAACTATGTCTATATATGAGAGCCACAGATAACACAGCAGTAGAATCATTAAGATTTAAGTTAATATTGATGCACTTTTATCCAAAGTGTAAACAAGTTGTTGAATCTCTGCCACGCTTAAGCAGCACAATAATATTGGGGTTTAAGGTTTATTTTACTACACCAATATTTACGTGCTGCTAGGGCGGAACAAGTATGACAATTCTTCTATTCATCCACATGTCAGGAACACAAATTTGTTAATAGAAAAATTTATATTAGTATCTTCAACTGTTTCTCTTCCTTAAATTTCTAAAGCAGCAAATAATGATTCGCATCTTTATTAGAGCATGCAAACCATGATGTGCTGCTACAGTACTTTAAGGCCTCAAATACAAGACTTAAAACCTAGACAGTATTTTTTATAATTATAACTGGAAAAATAGCTTCACTTAAAATTGTTTTTATTCATACACCAACCTGTAAAATTAAGAACCTGTTATGGTCCAGATCAATTCCATGGCTTCGGAGAAGAATACCAACATCTCTGAATGTCATTTTCTTCCCATTGATGTTGTAGACAGAAGAATTATCTCTATAAGCAGTTCTAGATACATAAAAACTGCTGTTAGGAACGACTTCGTAATCATCTCCTTCCTGTTTTGAGGAAAAACAAAGCCAAAAACCCAATTACTATATCACAGGTTTACCTCATATTTCACAATTAAGCACAAAAGTTTTATCATGTTCAGGTTTTAAGTCAACTGCACTCTGGGGTCTAGTAGAAGTGGAAACTGTCTTAAAGCTGCATATCGGGGGAAAAAAAAAAAAAAAAAGCAAAAAAAAAAGCCTTGAGATCTGGACAAAAAATAACCCAAATTGTTTAAACTGAATGGCCTTCATATTATGCCTTTCCCACCTCTAAAACAAGCTATTGCTTTGAAAATACTTAATTTATTCTCTTTACCACTGCTTCAAATAACAAAGGAAAAGGCCTACTTCAAATTTAAAGTGGCTCTGCTATTCCACCCTTTAAATTTTAGATTAGGAAGTCCTGAATGACTTAACTACTGTTTGCATTTTAAACTCCTCTTTTATAGTACTAGGAAAAGGAGTTGCTTTTAGTTGACTAGTTCTAAAGAGAAATTCTGGAAGATAAAAAAGCAAAACATTAAAGATGTGACAAATATGACATCACCAGCTTCAAAAGATATCTTAGACTTACCTACAAAGCAGCAATGAAAATAAAGCTTGTACTATACTTTAAAAAGTTAAAACCGATGTATGCTTCTTGTAAAGACTTAAACTGGCCGACCACTTTCACAGATTAACCCCCAAGAGCATAATCAAACTGGTATCTAGTATATGCAGAAGTTTTTTAGATCATAAAGTTAGCTCCTAGATGTTAATACAAAGTGAAGTGAAAAATAAAAAACAATAAACTTTGTATTTTTTGAATCTGGTTATTATAAATACAATCAAAAGGTATGTGTATATGTACATCAAGTCAAAGAAAAAAATTGTCTTTTAAAACAGTTCCTTCAAAGACTGGTATATTGCCACTTCATTAACACAATTTTTGAAACTTCAGTGTACATTTTCCACTATTTTGACTAACCCCAAACCAACAATTAATACTTTTGCTAGAATGTGTGCACAAAAATTAAATTTAAATGAAGTAAGAGAAATAAATTCCTTGCACTGTAATAGCAATAAATCAACAAAAATATCCCGAAGTTTTTATCAATGCATGAGGTGGCAAGCAAAATAAGTATTTTTTTTAATTTGCCAACACTTTCTATTTCATTCAAACAAAATATCAAGTCCAAAAAAATTTTGTGGTAGGATGTGAGGTTCAGAATTTCTGATTAAAAATCTGCTTTAAAATTGCAGGTATAGTTACAGTATATAAAGGGTACATAAGTAAGTTTCAGATTCATTATATATTTTTCTAAATTTAGATAACATAAAACAGTTTCTAGTTGGTTTGAAAAGATTTGCTTAAATACATTTCTTAATATATATGCCTATATTATAAATTTTAGCATATTAACATGTCCAAACAGACTTATAAATTTTTAGGGGTCCTATTAATTTCAGAAATAAGTTGTATTTATTTGAGGTGAGATGACAACTCTAAAACGATTTCTTCTTAAAATGATTATTACATATTTCTAAATAGTTTTAAAACGAACATGTACCAGATATTAGTGTTGCAGAAAAATAGAAAAAAGAATCCCTACTAATATTTTGAGAACTATACTACTCAGTAGAGGAATTTTTAAAGCTAATTATCTTTGAATTGATGTTTTACATCCCAAAGGTAAATTAATCATGCTCTGAAGTTTTTCCCCAGCTCAAAGTGAAAATAACCAAATATTAAAAGTTTTCAAATCCTTATAGAAATAAAATGTCTCCACTGTTCTAAACAGAAGCATACATACCTTGTCAATGATCTTTTGGAAGTGGACTTCCACAGAACAACTCTGGATATCCGCATGTCCATCAGAATTATGGATCAGAACAGAGAGTTTTTTGGATCTAATTTTTTGTGCTCGATACCCAAACACAAAAAGCATTGAATCAATAACATTGGATTTTCCACTGCCATTTGGCCCAATAATACATGAAAAACGCTGCATAATAGAAGGAAAAAGGTGATACTCAAAGGGAAATAGATCCTGGCCAGTGTACATCACCCATTTCACTTGTGAACAGTTTAAAACACAGTTATTCCTAGTGCATGAAAGTGCAGACTATTTGATAGTTTAGTTTTTATTGCCAAAGGTAAAGCAGGACAACTTATTTAATAAAAATCCCCATACCTCAATTCAGCTCAGCTTTCTAAATTTTAACTTGTTAACTCGAAGAGATACTGTATTTAGCAAGCATGTTCGCAAGGAAAGTTTCATGATTAGCCACGTAAGTCTCTTGTGGGCACTAAAAAATATTCTCATTCTTCAAACACACCCATAAAAGATCTCCAGTAAACGAAATAAAGAGAAAAGTGCGATTTCTTTAAGGTTTACTGACAAATCAAAACTGTACAGTATAAGAAAGTGGCACCTAACTTTTCTCTACTGTCCAATAATGAAAATTTAGAATAACACTATATAAGTAATTCTAAAACTTAAATATTTTTCAGTTATTTTGAGGTAAGCTTACATAAAAATACAGGAAGGAATGTTAACACACAGCAAAGTCTTACCTTCATTTAAAAAAATGCTTAAGGTAAAAGAAAGATACCTTATGAAAAGGTCCCAAAGTTTGCTTCCCTGCATAGGATTTGAAGTTCTGGTTTACAATATGAGTTATCATGAGACGAGGAGCACCAGCTTCATTGGTCATTGCTGGAAGTGGGGGAGGAGAGATGCTACCCAAAATCTCTTCTAAACTTTGATTATCAAGCATCTCATCTGAGGCTGCTAAAAACCATTCAACAAACAGAAAAAAAAAAAAAAGACTATAAGCTTCCAGTGACTAGACACCTTTTAAAATATTCTACTAGAAAACCAAACATCATTTCTATACGAACCTATACTTTTGCTTGTAATTATTAAAATGAGCTACGTGGAATTAAAATTCTTCTTTCCATTAACAATTTTTAAAAAGAGATACTTAAGATGTCCCATCGATTCACTAGTGGGTTTGTTCTTTCATTATGTAATTCTTATTCTAACACACTTTAATAGGCACTTTGTAATTACAATAGCTACAACCGTCACAATAAGCCTACAAATCTGAAACAGGCAAAGTCTTTCTAATTAATAAGTGCAAAGCCACATTTCAAGTGTGCTCACAAGTCACTCTGCAAGATTTGGGGATCGCTGCACAATGCTCTGAAAGCTGTAATGACAGCACAACTACTCTGCAAAGACAGGAAGTTTGTTACGAAAACAAACTGGCCCCCTGGATATCAGCTAGTTGTAAGCAAAGCAGCTTTTCAACAGTCAACAGCAACTTTTTCTTCACATACACAGTAGTTTTTGCCACCAATTTCAACATATTAATCCATCTGTCAAATACCTTGCTTTAATAATTGCATTTCTGGCTACCTAAAAAGACACACATGCTGCTTTTCCAGACATTTTCAGCAAAACCTCAACTCAAGGAACTGAAGAAAATACACTGCTTCATGAAAAAGAAAGTCAAATCATTTTAAGAGTTAAGTAAATAAACTTGACATTTATTCCATTCCAAGAAATCCCATACCATTGGCTGCATATAAATTTGAAAAATCCTGCTGTTGTACCACAATCTTAAATACAATGTTAGAGATCAGGAATATAAAATAAGTCTTCATTAGGAGAAAGTCTACACATTGCTTTTGCACTTGTACCAAATCACTGGTCCAAACACTTTAACTCTTTGCAAGCCCTTTTTGCCATTTGAAAAGCAGTTTAAGTTTGCCAGGAGTCAAGGCTTTCAATATTCCTTTCTAGAAAGGGAAAAGAGCTAATCCTTTCTGGAACAGTTGGGAAATTCAACTGAACATTGTGCTAAACTGGCACTATCATCAACTTTACACACCATCAGAACCACAATATTGAGACCTACCTTGTGGAGGTACTTCGCCAAGCTCTCTGTTGCCTTCATTTTTCAATTCTGTGTCACTGGTGGACTCCTCTAAGGGCTCTCTGCCTTTCCGATGGGCTGCTGTAGAGGTTTTGGTGCTCTTGCTTGGCATAATCTCTGGTGGCTGTTCCATTCCAAGCAATCAAACTACTGAAGGGATCTATCTCCTTTGCTAACATAAACAAGAAAACCCCGTGATCTAAGCATTGAACTACAATCGCCTAAGGAATATACCTACATGTTTACCCAAATGTTTGACTAATTTAGAAACTAAAGACTAGAGGTATTTTGAAGACAAAAATCCAAATTTGAAACAAAACCTAAAGCTTAGCCTCATAATGCTATATTTTAAAATGCAGCACCCCCCAAAAACAACGGACCGACCCTAATCTGTAGAAACAGCAAGAATCTACCTACTGAAAACTCATACAGCTACGTTCAACGCTGTTACTGTGCTCAGAGAAAGCAACCGTGATGCTGGGGGCAAAAGAGTTAAAGACACATTCGCAATAACAAAATGAGTAGCCATATGTCTATACTCTTCTGGAAACGCTCTTTACATACACACTTCAGACCTGACACACGTTTTACTTTCACCAGTCCATGCTGATTATATATTCTACATCGATAAACAAAAAGACCTGCATAATTATAGCAAAGACTTGACTCTTGAACAGTTTAAATCAACACACTCATTTCGCAAAATATAACACAACCACTACTGCCAGCATTCAACAGAGAAAGCAAAACAAAATACCTTAATCTAGTTGTGATGTTAAAGTTAATTGATCAAGAGCAAAACATTACAAAAGTCCATCAGCTAGCACTTAAGCACAGCTCCCAAAAAGTATAAATAGAAAGCAACCGATGTGAAGAAGGACGACTGCAGGAGTGAAACTCTCTCCAAAGCGTTTAAATTGCAGCAAGTGGCGAAGTTAGTTCGCAGAAAAACAGACATGAGAAAGTTTACTTCTCACAAGATAAAAAACTGACGTGGTTAGAAAGTCATCTTACAATTGGTGCCAATCATTTGACGTTTTCAGACCTACCCCCAACCCACACTCTCATGAGAGTCCTTCATTTGGGACAATGGGGGAGGGGGGGAAATGAGAGAAAGAACTCATTTTAAGGCAATTTGAGTCTATGCCCCTGTTAAGAAGTGTTCCGCAATGGCTGTCTCAGACAATTACAGCCTCTCAAAGTACCAGATTTATTATTTTTTTTTTCCAAAACCGCTCCACTCCAACAGAATTGTGCAATATAGACCTATTTACCTTACCAACCCTTCCCCCCCCCCCCGCCCGATACTTCAACAGAATGAACAAGCATAACTACTTGACCCCAGCTTTTAAATCGCGATAAATCATCTGCCACACACTCTCTAACAAATTTAACAAATTCGTGCCCAGCCCCTCCCCCGAGCCAGCTCAAAGGTGTTTGTTAAAAGCATCTCTCGACGATCTCCTAAGTCCCGTTTTTGTTATGGGGATGGCGAAAAAGTCAGAGAAGGACAGAAAAGCTTCCTTATTAACAGCCGATTACATTTGATAGCGACAGCCCATGTCAGTGAAAAAAATTTGGTGGTTTTTTTTTTTTTTTTCCAATCCGTCCGTTAATCTAAGGAGTCCGACTGCACCCTTGTCACGGTCTTTCCAAATCGTTATGGACTTCCTTAGCATTTCTCTCTCATACTCCAAGCATAAAAGGAGCAGGCAGAACTAGTTATAGAAGGGTCCCTGCTTTGTAAGCAGATTAAAATCGGGCCTCTGTGCTACCCAAACGCCTTCTCGTACTTCCCCGTCCTCTGTGGGTCTTCGATTCACGGTCCCCAGAGATCCTTAAGGGCACAGCGGGAAACCTCGGCCTTTCTCCCTTGTGCTGAAGACCCTCTCCCATCCCCACCCCCCCACCCCCCCCACCTCCTCAAACCCATCTGCCGACACTGGCCAGGACACGGCAGGCCGGGGGCCGCGCTCCGCCGCCGCGGGGACCGAGCGGCCGCCGGGCAGGTCCCTCAGGAAGAGCCCCCGGCGGGGCAGCCCCCGCGGGCCCGCGGAGAGGGGCCGCCTCCACCATCCCCTTCCTCAGGGTGAGGAGAAATAAGGGAAAACAAGGCGCGGAGCAGAGCCCGCCAGCCCCCCGGCTCAGCACCCCGCGCCCAGAGAAGCGCCCTGAGGGCTTCTCCGCCACCCCACTCCCAGTGGGGGGAAACCGCCCCCCCCCCCCCCCCCCCAACTCCACCTGCCCTCAGGCGAACTACCGGCGCCTCCGCCCGAAGCCGTGCCCGCCCAGCCTCCCCGCAGAACCGGTACCTTCGAGGATTCGCGGTGCTCCGGCCCCAGCGAGGCGGCAGGTTGCGGTAAAGCGGGCGGCTCCCGGCTCCCGCCGCGGCTCGGCAGCTTCCACACTCGAAAATGGCGCCCAAACGGCGAACTCGAACCGAAATTCGTTAGAAAAACGCGGGGCATGCTGGGAAGGGAGGGGGCCGGCCTCCCGCGGGTTTGAAAGGAGGGAAAAAAAAAAAAAAAAAATCAGAAAAAAAAAAAAAGCTCCCGCGCCATCTTGTTTTCCGTTACTGCGCGGACGGGCTGGGCGGGATGAAAAAAAATATAAATGAGTAAAATAAATCGCCTCGCTGCGGGGGAGCGGGATTTTTTTTTTTTTTTAGAGAGAGGGAGGAGAGAGAAGCGCGGTTGCGGGTGACAGCGGCCCCACGGCCGTGCCCGCCTGCCCCGCGTGGAAAGGATTTATTTTAATTTTAGAAGTAGGTCAGTGGGCGGTGCTCGGTTGCTCGGCAACGAGCGGCGAGGTGGTGGGGTGGGAGCGGCGGCGCGGAGGGGCGCTGTTATTTAAAAAAAAAAAAAAACAAAAAACATAATAAAAATTATGGGGACGCGACGGTTTTAAAGCGGTATTAATTAACGGGCGGCGCGGTGACGCCACCGGGCCGTGTCACCTGGGCGGGGAGGGCCCGTGAGGTGGCGGTGGGATGAGGAGGAGGAGGAGGAGGAGGAGGAGGAGGAGGAGGAAGTCTCGCGGGAAGTAGCCATAGAGACGGAGCCGCTTGGCCGCGGGGGGAGCGGGCAGCCGCCGCCTCGGCCCCGCCGCTTCTGGGTCGCGGCAGGGACGGGGAGGAAGGCGGGCGGAGAGCCGCCGGGGCTCGGGAACCGGCCGCGGTCCCAACCGCTCTGCGCTCTTCGTCCCGCTGCCGGCGCAGGTAAAGGCGGACTCGGGTGGGCGGTGGCGGCCATCCCCCCCCCCCCCTCCCTTCGCCGTCGGGGGAAGCTGCCCGGGTCTGAGTCACCGCCGGCGGTGGGCGAGAGGGTCGGGAGCCGTGACCCCCCCCCCCTCGCCCCGGGCTGGGCGTGGGAGGAGAGGAGGGAGAGTTGCGGGAGACAACCCGGCGGCGAGGTAAGGGCGGGGGAGCCCCGACCCCCGGCTCTCCGGACGGCCCTGAGGGAATCGGGCGTTGGGGCTCGCCCAGAGAAAGAGCGGCGGGTAATCGGCCGCTTGGGAAGCTGAGGGAGAAGGGGGTGATGGCGCGGCTTTGCCTGAGGCTGTTTGGGGAGGGTGGACGCCGACCGGGCGGGAAGGGCTGCGGTTCCCTCACAGCGGGGAACGAGCTCCTGCCCCGTCGCCGCCATCTACGCCCTTTTCTTTCCATCCTGCCTTCTGGCTTTTCCCTTCTCTCCCTTGCTTCCTAGCTCTTGCTCAATCTCCCGCCGCCGCCGTCTCTGATCCTCAGCCGCAGCTCCGGAGGGGAAGCGGCTGAGGGGAGGAGAAGGCGGGGGGGCCGCGGTGCAAGACGGCGGGACCAAGCGGGGGTGCCAGGCTGGGAGAAGCCGAGCCAAACCCACCGTGCCACAATAACAACTCCTTGTTATTGCCCTATCTTTTTCAAAACTCCTAGTAAATGCTTCCCGCCAACCCGCAGTTGTATGTAGTTATGTAGTAGGATGACTGTACCTGTTGATTGATAGCGGGTGAGCTGTGTGACATAAGGGTGAGCGTTCTGCCTTTTAGGTGCACATAAAGAGTGTTTAAGCCGTTTTCAAAAATTATAATAAAGTTCTGGTCTTGCCGTTGAAAGGAAAATAACAGAACCCGGTGTAGTGGGAGAAGGGAGGGAGTGCAAGCTGGAAGCTGACAGTAGTGATGTGCCTGCTGAAACAGTGAGTGAGAAGTAAACAATTAGAAAATACGAAGCAGCAACTGAAAAGGTGGGTTTAGCAAGGTGTGGCGTGTACAGCAGAAAGAAGCAGATGAGATCCATGCATCCAAATAAATATGAAGTATTCTGTTAAGTGGGATAGACGCTTACATTAAACTGGAGAATAAATCCTTAGCGCTCTTTTACTCCATAATATTTCTTTGCTGTATATAGATTGTAAGGTTTATGTTTGGGGATTTGGTTTCAGAATTTGCAGCACAGAGACTAGTCCTGCAGCTTACCGGCAAAAAATGTGGCAGCGTGTGCTGAACAGGTATATGCAGGTGCAGAACAAGGGCATTACCACCATGCAGAAGTCAGGGTTGATTAGAAGGCTACTTTGAAAGTTTAGTACAAATTTAGGCCCCTTTTAAATGCCTTGATGATGAGATTCCCAATGTGTTTTTTGGATAAGGGTAAGAGAAGGAAGTTAGACATTCAAGTATGAGAGAGGATTATTTTTATTTTTAAATAATTATATCGTGTGTTTATCAGTTGATGTAAAGTAGGATTGCAAATAACTTATTTCATTCTTTGGGCATAGAAAATTCAGTTTTAGGACTCTTCTCCTTTTAATGCTTCTTAAATTCCACATAGTAACTGTTTGACACAGAGTAATTTTTATGGTGAAAAAATTCCAGATTAGAAGGCTACATTGTGCATCATCATGCTCTCCTCAGAGTATACCTTCTGCTCTCAACTTCTTGCTCACACTTCATCCTGGAAGGCAGAAAAGTTTTAACCTGGATAAGTGCCTCTGCGCTGTCCAGGGACAGACAGAGAAAGGCTATTGCAATTAGGAGAGGGTGGGACCCCATTGAACTGCTCGTGGAATTACTGTGTTGCACTAAAGTATCATGGACATTACCCATAGGGGTGGATAAAAGCCTAGGGTGTTGTAGCATTTTGTCACAGCCAGATTATTTCATAGTATGGCTTTTTCCTCTAAATTTTCCCACAGTGCTCTCTCTTAAGCATGAAGTTCCTTGAAAAGCTTGCGATTCCAGGTTTTCCCTTGTTACCTTCATGACTATATATCAGCACAAGAGAACTTCAGTGTTTCAACCTATAATGTTTCAACAATATGTTCCTAGCATCACTTGTTCTTTAAATTGTCCAGTGTCTTTATACTAAGTGATAAGATAAATGCAGAGTTGGGTACTGTACAAACAGAATTCCCTTAAAACTCAGGTCTGTTTTGGTGCTTATTTTGCCATAGTGCTAATGTAATATTACTTATTTCAGAATGTTTTATTTTGGTGTTAGTGTCTTCTTTTTTAATTTTGGCTACTTATATATGTGTGTTTATATTTTATTGCAGTTATACCTACATGTCTTCTTTTTGATGCTCAATGTGAATAACTGAAATGAGACTGAAGACTTCACTTTTAAAGGAACCAAAGCATATCCTTTATTTCAAAATAAACTGTAGAAAAGCTTGTTAAATCTGAAAAGCCTCTTTTCCAGAAAGGATTTCTTAATCATAAATGTCACAGTAAAATATTTGTAAATTGCAGGTGGCTTTTTTTTTTTTTTTTTTTCATTCACCTTGCCATTCAGCGCAGCTTTTAAGGGCAACTTTTTAGGAGATGTTGAACAATCTTAGAGTAATACCTTCCCTTCGGAAGGTATCAATGTTTTGCCAGGAAATTTTAAAGTTTTTTTCCTTTCTTATTTGTAGTGGTGAGTTAAAAGCTTTCCTAGACAGTAAATAGGAGTAGTGATATATCTGCTTGTTTGTAATAAGACATGCACGTAGCAGATACAAATAGAATTGTGATATTCCTACTGATAAATCAGATACATCAACAATTTTTATACGATGTGGTGTTAATAAACCAACAGATTTGAATGATTGTGCACTAAGACTCTTCTAGGGGTGTAACCCAACATGTCAGCTATGTTTCAATAAGTATGCAACGTAATAAGCATTGCATTCATATTTTTACATGATAGTTGGCTTTATTTTTTGCGAAGTTTCTACCAGCTCTTTTCTTGACACAAGAGAAGAAAAAGAATGAAGAATCATATTTTTTTATATAAAACACTCCATGTAATCTTAACTAAACAATCTTCCTGTATTGTTCCTTCAGTTTTGTATAGCATAAATGAGATAATTTTGTAAGCTTATTTTTAATAATTAACATTTTCAGACTTCCTTAATTTAATTAAACATAAAGAATTAGTTAGCTGTGTGGGATGGACAACAGCTGATGAGCTATATTCCTGCAGTGATGATCACCAAATTATGAAATGGAACCTTTTAACTAGTGAGACTACTCGAGTAGTGAAACTTCCAGATGATATTTATCCCATAGATCTTCACTGGTTTCCCAGAAGTATAGGTGGGAAGAAGCAGTCCCATGCAGAAAGCTTTGTTCTAACAAGTTCTGATGGTAAGTCACTTTAAAATATTTATCATTTCACACCACTTTGTGCCTATGTCTCTCAGATACATGAGAAATTATTTGCAGTTAAAATAGTCTGCAATAAAGCAACTCCAAATACCTATACATCGGTTACACTGGTGTAAAACTGATAAATACTTCAAATTTAATACATTGTATTACTATAATTTTCTGCAATACAATGTTATCAAGTGTACCTCTGACAGCAGATATGTAATTTTTTTATGTAAGGTCCATTTATACCATATTTTTTTCAATTTCATAAACTAGTAGCTTTAAATATGCCTGTACTGTATGCCTACATAGATACCAAATCACTTGTAGTTACGAAAACTGATGACCAGGTTACTGAAATTGCTTGACCATGATGTTTAATATCAATGTAGTCCATTTCTTGGACATGTTACAAGAGCATGTCTTCTATCTGGCTTCGATGGAGTCTTGAATAATCCCTCTCAAGCATCTAGTCCTGGCTGTTGTCAGGGATGGAAGACTGGTACATATGTCCACTCTAATAGCAGATGCGTTTATACATACATATATCCAGTATGCTGCTATTTGCCCAGTATACTAATACTAGTCTATATGATCGATATAGTAGCAGCTGTATTTCAGCATATGGATTCTGTTTTGTGGAAGGGAGATGGGAGCAAAATGATTTGATGATTGCTTGGGGTTTTTCTCTTCCTCCCTAAAGACACTAGGAATTGATTTTGCCTGACTTGCACACAGTCAGATTTTTTTTTCCTGCATGAAGACAGATATATCCCCAGTTCAGTGAAGAAATCTTAGGTAACTGGTTTCATTGTTATTTCACATTTATTACGAAGCAGTCCATACTGTTCACATGAGTTTGTCTCCTTAGTACTGTCATGGGGATTATGTTCCATGCCACCAGGAATTTTCTGTGCAAATTTTCCCCTTTTTTTTTTTCCCCTAATACCTTTTCTTTAAGGAAAAACATTTGGAGTCCCTTCTTCTCGATCTAATTCTTTGTTTGAACAAAATATGAAAACTAATGGTAAAAATAAATTTTCTGAATGCTGCCCCCTTTTATTTCTGTTACAAGGAACCTACCGTGTGAAAACACTGTAGTTAAGACGAGGGTGTTTCTTTCTCAACCCACCAGTTTTTAAAAGGGGTTGATCCTATATGAAATATGTTGGTTTACATTGAACTTGTTATAAAAATTGTATTGGAATAAAAGCTCTGCTAAGAACAAGTCCTTGGTGTAGACTGGGACTGCCTAACTGTCAGTCCGCTGGCAAGAACTTGCTGAAGAGGTTGTTGTGTTAGTTTGTGAATGATTTCTGATACTTTCATATGTTACATCCGAGAATTTGGCATGCAGG